GGGGCGCCAGGGCCGGGGAGCGGACAGGGGTGCAGGGCGCCGGATCCGCGGGGCGGCCTCGCAGTTCTCCCCACGCAGGTGGGCTCCTGGGGGGTCCGGGACGCCAGGCCCTGCCTCGCGGGCTCTGAGCCCCAGCTTTCTTCGCAGCGATCTCCCGCGGCTCCCGTGACCAGCGCGTGGCCCGACGCTCTCGCACCCCGTGTTCGCGCCCCTGCCCCCGGCACCCTCGCTGAAGCCCCCGCCCCCGGCGGGTCTCTGGCTCCTTCGCTTTTCTCTGAGTAAAGATTCACATCCACCTGAGTCTGCCTTTCTCCCGCGCGTCCTCTGCTCGGCTGGCCTTTGTCGCCGGCCCCGCGCGTCCCCCGTGCTCCGCCGCCGCCGCGACCCCGACAGCCCGGCGCGCGGCGCCCCGGGGAGCCGTGGCTCACACAGGCGAGTCCACGCGCGCCCTGCGTGGACAGGGTTGGTCCTGGTCCAGCTGCCCAGGTCTGCCGCAGGGCATCGAGCTCCCGTCCTCGGGCGACCTGACCCCTGCCTGGCGCCGTCCGCTGCGTCCGCCGGTGCCGGGCCTGGTCCCGCCTCCGCCGTCTGCCCCGGGCGCCTGTGGGCGGCTTGACCCGGGTTCTGGCAGCGCCCAGAGGTGCCGCGCGCAGGCGTGGAGGTTCAAATGAAGAATTAGGGGATAACGGCGGGCATCCGAGTGGGGAGCGGGAGGTGGGGGGCGTGAGGTCTGGCCCCTGGGGGCTGTGAGGCCCAAACACTGTCCCATCTCGCTGGAGCTAGACCGAGACAGACATTGGGTCTGAAGGGCCCAGGGGCGCCCGGCTGCCCGTCCCCACCCTGGCCACTGCCTGCTCGGATTCACCTGCCGCCTGCGCCGCCCGGGCCAGCCCAGCTGTCCCCCACCCCCACCCGAGCTCTAGCCCTCCTCTGATCCCTTGCATCTTGGACTCGACACCCTACCAGATGGGAGGTGGGTTTAGGCCTTGGGACTAACGGCGTAGAGGGGTGAGGGGGCACTGACAGAGCCTGGGCTGGGAGGGGCCGCACTGTACAGTGGAGGGTGATGGGCCCCCAACACCGAGGGCGGGGCACACCTACAGGCAGACCAGCGCCCCTTGAGGACCCCAGCAGGAAGCCGGGTAACTGGGAAGAGAGCCCAGGGTGGTCTGTAGTATCTGGGGAGCTGTCCAGGGCTGGTGTCAGGGGACACCGGTGGGGACACAGGGCTGGGTGTTCAGACCAAGGACAGGCAGGACTCTGGGCTGTCATCCCCAGCCTGGTGGCAAGGTGGGTGTCTAGGCAGCCCCTGCCTCAGTGGGACTGGCCTGCCTTGGCACAGTAAGTAGGTGGTGCCCAGGAAGCCCCTTAGCTGGGTGGGCCAGTGAGGTCCTGGGCAAACTGGAGACCCGTGGGTGGGCAGGGGGTGAGGAGGCTGGGCCACGTGCACCGTGCCCTTTCCTGCCGGCTCCCGGAGGCGTTGCACCAGACAGACGGGCGCATGCTGGACTAGGCTGGCTCTGATGGCCATTGAGGGAGGGTCCGACAGGCCTGGTGGTCAGTGGGGTGTGCGGGGGCAGGGAGAGTCTGCACAGCTGATGTTTAAATTAAAATACTTTTACTCTCTATTTTATTTTGTAACTTTTTGTTTTGAAATAATTTGAGATTTGGAGAAAAATTATGCAAACATAAAGAACTCCCATGTACCCTTCACTGACATTCCCCAGTGGTTGCTGCTTAGTCATTTAGTGTTGCTGTGAAGGAACACCTGAGGCCGGGTAGCTTACAACGAAAAGTGGCCTATTTGGCTCATGGTTCTGCAGGCTGTAGAAGCAGCGTGGTGACAACGTCTGCATCTCGTGAGGGCCTCCGGGAGCTTCCACTCACGGCGAAGGTGAAGGGGAGCTGGCACGTGGCGACCACGCAGCGAGAGAGGGGGCAGGAGAGTGGGGAGGCACCAGGCTCTGTTTAACAACAGCTCTCCCGGGAACTAGCAGAGCGAGAACTCTCCCACTACCCCCACCAGGGCGGGCACAATCTGTGCACGAGGGATCCGTGACCCAAACGCCTCCCACCAGGCTCACCCCTGTGAATCCAAAATAAGTGACTGAGGCAAAGATCTTGTCAATGAACCAAGATCTGTAAGTGTTTTTCCAAAGGAGAATTTGGAAGTTTCAGCATTGAAAGGCATATAGAAGGGCGGGGGGTAGTGAGACGAAATGGTTACATTCTTGCGAGGAAAGAAAAAGAGAAAATAATTGAACAAAGAATAGATGAGAATTTATGAAATAATTAGTAAGATGATAGATCTAAATCCAACCATATCGATAAATCCATCAAATATAAACGATCTCAACACCCCAATTAGGAGGCAGAGACAATCGGGTTGGGTAAAGGAGCAGGACCCACCTACACACAGCCCACAAGAAACACCCTGTAAATATACAGACACAGATAGGTTAAAAGTGAAGGGACGGGGGGAAAGTGCTTCGCTAACTCTAGTCAAAAGCTAGAGCCAGGCGTGGTCTGTAGTCCCTTGGCCACTTGGGAGGCTGAGACAGGAGGATCGCTGGAGCCCAAAATGAGGCTGAGTGACAGTGATCGCACCACTGCACTTCAGCCTGGGCAACAGAGCAAGACCCTCTTTCTAAAAAAGAAAGCAAAAACCTAGAGTCTCTATATTAATATCAGACAAAGTTGATTTTAGAGTCAAGACATTATAGAAATAAAAAATATTGATAAAAGAGTCAATTTGTCAAGAGGATATAACAATTTAAAACATTTGTGGACCTAATAAGACAGCTTCCCAAAATACATGAAGCAAAAACTGATATAATCACAAAGAGAAATAGACAAACCCACAATTACATCAAAGGTTTCAATAATCCTCTCGCAGTAACTGCCGGAACAAGGAGGAGGAACACAGTGCACAAGCGCATCGCCAACCGCCGTGACCAAACGGTGCTGTCGACTGCTCCAGCCAGCGGCAGTCCGCCGTCTCCCAAGGACACGCGACGTTCACCAAGACCAACCACGTTCTGGCCGTTAACACACGTCTCAACAACTTTACAGGACTCAGACAAAGTGTGTTCTCTGACCACAATGAAGTACATTGAAAACCAACACGGAAACACCCCTGGAAAATCCCCCAAATTTGGAAACGAAGTAGCACACTTCTAAGTAACCCCTGGGTCAAAGACGAAATCAAAAGGAAAATTAGTCTTTGGAACTGAGTCAAAATGAAAACATACCAAAATTTGCGGGTTGCCACTAAAGCAGCCTAGAGCTAGGTTTATAGCACCAAATGCTCTATTGAAAACAAGAAAGGTTAAAAACCGATGACTCCAGCTTGCCGGCTAAGGAACCAAGAAAAGAAGAGCAAACAGAACCCAAACTAAGTAGACGGCAGGACAGGAAAAGCACAGAGGAGCGCGGAAGCGGGAGGGCAATGTGGCTGAGGGAAGGGCAGGCTGCCACCTGCACGCACGGCCCCCATAGCCCCCACAGCCCCCAGACCCCCCAGGCCCCAGCCACCCAGGTGCTGACGCCAGGGGCTCTGCCAGGTGTTCTCAGTTCCTGGGTGCTCTGCGGGGCAATCCTGCCCTGAGGCCCACGGGCCTAACTCCTGTCCCCCCTGGGGGTGGCCGGGCTCCTCCAGTCTCCAAGCCCATCCTGTGCTCACTGTTGTCATCTCTCAAGGGGTATTGTCCCCGTCCCCATGTCCCCATTCCACCTGTTTTTCAAGCATCTCCAAAAAAGTTGTTAATCCTCAAGTGAAATGTTTACAATTCAGTAATCCCCAAAACAACGTCCTATAAATATCTGTGGAACTTCATGCTATTCTCAGGCCCTCACCTGTGACCACACACAGAGCCCTTGTCTCTCTCAGGTGAGGCACAGTGGGCTCTGGCTGGCCCACTGCTGTCCAGCCACACCGGAGCTCAGAGCCTGATGTCTCTGCAGGAGGTCTGGGCCAGAGCCCCAAGCCCGCTGGACACGGGACATTCTGCCCAGCTCTGCCCACAAGGGGGCATGAGAGAGCAGGGAGGTTGCTAATTGCCTGGCAGCCAGCTGGGGAGCTCAGGTTCCCAGGAGCCCAGGAGGGCAGGGCGGAATCACCCACCCCTCCTTCTGCCCCGGTCGGGGTGGAGTTCAGGCCTGAGCCCCTGTGGGTACGCACAGGAGGAGAAGCAGGAGGATGGGAATTGGTGTCCAAGCCCCAGACATTCATCCCCCCAGAAAGTAAATCAGCCTGCTTGCCGGAGCGTCGGACAAAGGCCCACTTGTGACATGGGCCTCCTGCTTCTGGGTCCGCTCAGATGCCTGGTTCCTTCTCTCGTCTGCGTCCGTCAGCGGTGTTTGTTTCTTTTCTTGGTGCTCTTAAATCCTCGAGAGGCACCCTGCCCAAAACAGATGGTAGAAGGTATCCTGGAATAGAAAAAGGGCTCGTGTCAAATGACTGTTTTCCTTGCCAACAAATAGCCCAACTCACAACAGCAGTCGTGCGTGTTTCCTTCTCACTCCAGAGTGTCCCCCCTCTGTGGCTTTCAGGACGTGCAGGCTGCCCTCCTGGGCCCTGGGCAGCTCCGTTTCTGCGCCCATCTCAGACCTGCTTCCTGTGGGAGCTTCTCCCGGCCACTGGTGCTCGCTCACTCGCTTGCTCGGAAGCACTCAGCTGGGAGGGCCGGCTCCTGCCAGGCTCTCTGGGGCTCAGGCTTCCTGCAACGAACCGACCAACCGTCCCACCAAAACCCTACCTGCCCCTGGCTCCCAGGACTCACAGGTCAAAGTCCAGGTAGCCCCGAGGCACACACAAGTTCATCTTCCTGTCTTTGGATTCTTTGGCATTTTTTTCCCCACTTGTTCAACATTTCTCCCAAATTAGATTTGAACAGGCGGTAACCCAATCAGAGCAGAGTCAATGCTGGGAAGCTCCTGGGCTGTAACTGCAGCAATCGAGAGCTCTTCCCATCCCAGGGAGGACAACGATGAAGGGGGTGCTTAGCATTCCTGGGCTTCAGGGGCTCAGTGTGCCAGGGGAACTGAGTCACTCTAGAGAACCCAGACACTGAGGTTCTTGTCTCTGCAGCAGCCGGTGTCCCTACCCAGTGCTACTTCTCCCAGAACACTGGCCCAGACTCAAACCAGAATTTTCACCATCAAGCGCATGTTTAGACCCTCCTTCAGCAAGACGCCGGGTACTGACCTCTGGCTGTAGGTCCACCTCCCACCCGCAGGTGCTGGGGAGGGGGCTGCGGGTTCAGAGCAGACTTCCATGGCCTCCCCTTCTGACTGCTCCCTGTCGTCCCCGAGGGCTTTGATGGCCGTGTGCCGGCTGGCCCCCGGTGTGGCCGGGCTGCGGAGGACACAGCAGTGAGTACCAGCCTCACCTGGCTCCTGCCACATGGTTTTTCCCAGAAACAAAATTGCAAGGAAGAGACCTTCTTGCAAACGTATTTTCTTACTATTTCGGCATAATCTAACTTTATAACGTAGTTTTCAAGCTACTAGGAAAAAGGGCATGATTACAGAAAATTCATTGTTTATACAACAAATCCCATATTTTATAAATCTAAGTATAACAATTACACTCTGCCGTTTGAAAATCTTAATTTTATGGTGCCATGGAGTAAATGCCTGCCAAGGTTGCCACGTGTCTTTCATGAGTGTGAGAAATTTACTGAAATTAACCAGGAACTGTAAAATAGTCTCTTAACACCGATGTCTCAATCCAGGATTGTAAGGGTTTCTCTTTAAAATGATCCCTCAGAAAGGAGAGAATTACTTTATGCTTAAGTCCTTATAAAGTCTCTCCCATTACAGTGGGTTCTCCCAATAACTTTAAGCAGCAAAGTATTACTGGATAAAATTTAGCCTGAAAAGAGCTGAATCAATGCATTGTTTAGATGGTTATGAAAGTTCACCTAAAAGAATCAGCTATAAAAAGAGACAAGCACAGCACGATTTAAAGAATTATTCCTGGTGGTATTTCCCACAGTGTGCTCTAAACAGTACCGCGTTCATAGATGGAGGGCTTTGTCGTCCAGCTCCTACGTGTACACCAGCAGGACAAGCGACAAACCAAAGGGCCCACGGCTGGCAGGGACACACCAGCCAGTCCCTCCGTACGGAGCCCAATGCAGAGCCTGGAAAGCCAGGCGCCCTTCCCGGCCGCCACAGTGGTGGCTGCGGGCAGCACCGCCCGCTCCTCGTGCACCCTGCTCTGGTGGAGGATGCCCTGCGGTCAGGGTCTCAGCCACGTTAAGTGAGACACAGAGGCTGACTGTCGCATCTGAGTCCTCAGAGCCCACACATTCGAGTCTGTCCAAGGCTTTTCTAGGATCAAGGGCTGTGGTGCTGAGGCTTACCTACCCGCTGCCTTTCTGTGGCTTATCAAACCGGAAATCCGCGGGGTACAGGTGAAGCCTCACCAGGTGGTCCTTCCGGGCCTTGCTGGTCTTGAACTTCTCCGTGCAGCCTTCCACCAAGCACTGGTACTGAAACGGAGATGGCCTCACCTCCACCAGCCCCACCACGACCCCCACGGCCCCCCAGCACGCCCTGGACAGAGAGCTGCGGTGGCGCTCTGACCCCTGCCCCTGCTGGACAGGACGGTGGTGGGCATGGAAACCTCACTCACCATGTCCTGCCGCTCAGACAGGATCTGGAAGAGTGAGTCGTGCCACTCCAGGATGTGGGCATCGAGCAGGTGTCCGGAGGGGAAGGCCCGTCTGCAAAAGGAGCAGACGTTTCTGTGCAGCGTGTGGTAGTGGTGCTCGTAGTCCTCCAGGGCGTCGAACACCTGGCAGCAGCCTGCCATCTGACAGGTAAACTCGGGCACCCTGCAGAGGAGGCTCGTCTCACACGGGGCCAGCGCTGGCGCGGCCACTTGGTCTCCCTTCAAGAGAAGTCCCCTAAAGCTCCGATGCTTCTCTTGCCAGCCCACAGCCTCTTTTCAGGAACTTCTCACAACAGCCTAAGCAGGGAGCAGTGGGGTGGGCGGAGGGTGGCAGGGCAAAGCGCTCCCACCTGCAGGGTCAGAGGAGGTGTCGCCCCAGGACCAGCCCCTCCATCGCTCACCTGGGCCTGTCGGGCGCCTCAGCCACCTGCGAGAGCACGTCCTGGAGGTAGAGATGACGCTGCACGTCCCCGTCCTGCAGGAGAAGTGCGCTGTGGGCGGGGCCCGACGCCTCGCGCCCCCGCCCCTGCTTTAGGCCCCGCCCCTGCTTTAGGCCCCGCCCCCTGCGGGCTCCGGCGCCGCTCCAGGTCTTAGGCCCCGCTTCAGGCCCCACCCGACGCCTGCCGTCCCCCGTCACCCACGCACCTCGAAAAACTCGTGCTCCCGCGGGAAGCGTACCAAGCGCGCGGCGAAGCGGAAGGGTGCAGCCCCGGCCGCGGGGTCCCGCTCCACGGGCAGCGGCTCGGCCGCCCCAGGTGCCCCCGCCAGGCGGGTGCGCAGCGCTGAGGGCAGTTGCATCTTCCCGGGCGCCGGCGGACGCACCCTGCCGGCCACCGTCCGCGAACTGGGGGCGGGGCCGGACGTGACGTCACGAGGCACTTCCGCCGCTGTCGGGGCTGCGCCTAGGGCTCTGCTGTGGGGCTTACGGTGAGTTCCCGCTGGGCCGGGCTGCGGGGCGGCGGCTCCGGGCGGGACGGGCGCGGCTTTCCCCGCGCGCTTCCTCAGGCCGCGCAGCGCCCCCGGCTCCGCCGCTGGCTCTGGCCCGACGCCTTTCGGTCCCTGCTCCTCGCGGTCCCCGAGACCCCGACACCCTATTCGCGTGGAGCAGAGCCGTGGCGGGTGCGGAGCGGGCGTCCGAGTCGTCCCTAGGTGCCTCTCCCCAGCCGGTCTGCGTCCTGCAGCGGAGGTTCTCGCCCACTCCGCTCCCGCCTCCTCCCTTCCCGCGCTTTCCACCCCCTTTCCCGTTCTCTACAGCCCCTTTCCCAGGTCTCTCTCTCCTCCTCCTCCCCGGCCCTCTCTCCCCCACCTGCTGGACTGCAGCAGTCTCTGGTTCATTCAAACCAGTCACTACCTGGAGCCAAAGTGGCTTTCGGGAAATATGCGTTTTATTGTAGCTCTTTGTCTAAAGCCCTTGGGTGATTTCCCTTTACCTTAGTCCAAAGGCCCTTTCCTGGCCTGCCAGGGTTTGGTCTGCCGTTCCAATCCCCTCATCCCATCAGCTCCCGTGAAGTGCAGGACCCTGTGCTAGGTGCTCAGGGCGCATGGGTGAAGAAATGAGAGGAGGTCCCTGCCAACGTGGAGCCTACAGCAGGAGAGACAACGTTTGCCTGAAGAGTTAGCTAATTAAGGTTGGGCATGATGGCTCCTGCCTATATATAATCCCAGCACTTTGGGAGGCCAGGGCGGGAGGATTGTTTGAGGCCAGAAGTTGAAGACCAGATTGGGCAACATAGTGAGACCCTGTCTCTACAAAAAGTAAAAGTTAGCCGGCACGGTGGCGCGTGTCTATAGTCCCAGCTACTCGTGAGGCTGAGACAGGAGGGTCAGTTGAGCCCAGGAGTTTGAGGGTGCAGTGAGCTATGATCACGCCACTGCACTCCCGCCTGGGAAACAGAGCGAGACCCTGTCTTAACACAAAAAGAGTTACCTAATTAAAATGGTGGTTGCGAAGGGAATCACAGTACCCTTGAGATCTACCGCAGAGGATGGACATGTGTGGCTTACAGAAGCTCTAGCTTTCCACTGCTCTCCCAAAGTATTTTATTATTTAGCAGGACTTACACACACGTGCACATCAGAGAAAAGGGGGCACTGTTTCTTTAAGAGATTAAAACAAAATAAAACCTTTTTGTTATTTCATCTTAGAAATGAAGGTTTGTGGCTACATTGCCAACTGGTCATTTTTAGGCATAAGAAGAGCTTCTGTACAGATTCAGACTTTTTCATCTCTCACGCAGTCACGTGCCACAGAAGGGTGTTTCCGTCAACCGTAGACCTCATATAGGACGGTAGTCCCCTAAGCCTGTAATGCCGTGTTTTTCCTGTACCTCTTCTATGTTTAGATGTGTTGGATACACAGATACTTACCACTGTGTCACGGTTGGCTGCAGTATTCATTACAGTGACATGCTGCATACAGGTTTGTAGCCCGGGAGCCACAGGCTGTGCCGTGTAGCCTGGGTGTGTGCGGGAGGCTACCCCGTGTAGGTTTGTGTAAGTGCACTCTGTGATATTTGCACACAATCGCCTAACAGCACAGGCCTCAGAATGTATCCCCATCATTAAGAAGCACATGAATGTACTTTTCTTTGTAAAAGTATTTGGGCCGTTGACATTTTTCACAAATTGTACAGTGTTTTTTACTCTGGCCTATACAGTTAGCTTTGAACTCTCAACGGGCTCTTTTTCACTTCCTTCTGTTTTAATCAACTGCTGTTCATCAGGAGCGTGTGCCCAGCTCACTCATGGTGGAAAGGGACGTCCATGCCATTGCTTCCTTGTCACTAGTCCCTGCAGTAGCTCATACTCAGTGTGAGGAAGAGGTAAGTCCTGCGCAGTCAGACATTGGGTTTGTCCATTTGTGGTGACTAATAGAAATGAGAGCTCAGGAGCATCCAAAAGATCAAGTGAGCTGTTACAGGTAAACGTTCTTCACAGTTGTGTTCTCCAGTGGGCACAGTGTTGGCATTTTTGGCGGGACAGGTCTGTTGACGTTTGGCATCCCTGGCCCTTGCCCACTAAATACCATGTGCACCTTTCATGTGACAACCCAAAGTTGCCCCAGTACGTTTCCAGAGGTCCCCTGGGGAAGTACTCGTGCAGGGGAGAGCTGCTTCCTGTAAGCACCGTCCCCACGTTCTCACGCAGGCTCTTGTAGGATTAACACTTATAATGTGGTGATGTCTGTGCTTCTGTTTTTACCACAAACGTGAAGTTTCCAGAAGGTAGTTTTAAATTCATATTAACTTAGATGCTCTTTCTTCAGAAGTAGATCTCTGCCCGCTTGAGTCTGTTGGGGGTGCTTTATCTCTTTGGCAAATGATCTTGCCATCTGGCAGGACCCCAGCAGTGCCCAGTCCTCAGTTACAGGATGATCCACAGTCTTTGGGAAGCTGGTGGAATGCAAGTAAAACCGACGGCCCTTGGGTTCGAAGAGGCCACCAGTCGGAAAGTTTCGTGTTGTCTTTTCTGTTTTGTGAGGAGTTAGCAGTGCCTCATTCAGGGCTACCTGTGACTACTCGGAAGGTGACTGGTAGTTCAGGATTCTGTCGGTGATTTGGATCCAACGTTCCTTTTGTAAAACTAACTGTTTCCCAGATAAGTGCGTTAGCACTTCCAGGTGGGTGGCGTTAGGTAGTCACAGCGGCAACACCTGTCCTCCCCTCCTAGTAACAGTTGTGCGAGAATGTACTACCTGAGAGCCCTTTGGTGCTGTGAAGAGCGACTCTAGGAGGATCTGTTACGCTGCCTTTGCAGAGGAAGCTTAGAGAGGACGAGTCCCTTGTCCAGGGTCCCCAGCCCAGAAGCAGCCACATCAGAGTCCATCTGCCTGGGACGCCACAGCCTGTGTCCTGCTGGTCTTGCACTCGTGGCTGTAGTTACCGTGAGCACGTCCTGATTCAAAAGCACGTGCACTAGCGACTTCTGCACGCCTGCTTGTCATTCTGCTTTCGTTTCTGGAGGTGGCCTTCCCTGACTGGCATTGATGTGCACATACTGCGAAACCGTTTTCTGTCACACAAGATGAGAGTCTTGCTCTCTCACTGTAGAGTTCCGGGTTAATACTCACTAGTAAATTAGCATATTATGGGAATGCCTGCCGAGGCTTCTGTACTTGATGTTTTGTTTAACTCACGGCTTGTCCTCACTGGAGAGGTTAGCGCGGTAGTTGTCAACCTTTCTTGGGTCACAAAGCCTTTGAGAATTTGTTGAAAGACCATCTCAGAAAATTCACAGATGATTTTGCGTATGATTTCCAAGGGTTCGTCTGCTATTCCTGGATCACAAATGAAAAACCCTTGTGTAGGTAAATTGTAGTGTTTATGCAAAGCCTGTCGAGTTTGCTTGTGTTTATTCTTGAACCTGTGGCAAGTTGTCCATGTGCATTCGTATCAACGTCCTTGTATCAGCACTCTTGACGACAATGGCTGACAACCAGTTATTAGTGGGAGAGTGGAAGTCCCCACGCTGCCTGCTGCTGCCCGCTGGGAATGTCTTTCATGGATTTGATTCTGGGTGCTGGGTGTCTAATCGCAAGACCCTGGGGCAGCTGGTCTGCAGGGCCAGGAGCTGGAAGGCAGCCCTGTGCACCTCAAATGTGTAGGGAACATACGTTGGTCTTTCAGAAGAAATCTTACCAAAAGTATCTTGCTAGGTAACCAAGCTTGGGCAGGACGAGGAGGTGTCCCAGGTACCAGAGTGCAGAGAAGACACAGAGCTGGAGGCGTGAGTGTGGCTGCAGCTGGACAGGTCAGGATCGAGAGCTGTGGGTGGGACTGTCTGTGCGAGGACAGGGTGATGGCCTAGGCCTGTGCAGAGCTTCTGGTGCAGATCCTGGACCCCCCCCCAAGGGGGTCGTGTCTGCACAGCTGGGACCAGAAAGCTGGGTCCAGCAGGTGAGGGGAGCAGCAGAGCGGTGCCCTGCTGGCCCTGGGCCCTGTGTGGGAGTCACAGGGAAAAAGGAGAGCCAGGGCCTCCAGACCCACGTCCACGCTGCCCACAGGGTGGCTGCTCCCGAGCTGTGGCGTGAGCCTGGGAGCTGGACTAGGCGGGGGATGAACTCTGGGATGACAGCAAAGCCCCCGAGGGCCCCACAGTGAGGGAGAGGATGGCTGGGAAGAGGCTGTTGTGTTGGGGGGAGGGGACCCAGGCTGGGCCAGGGCAAGGCAATGATTTGGTTTGTCAAAGGCCTGGCCTTGGCCAAGTTTGATTGTTTAAAAAATGTTTTATTTATAGGATTTCAATTTTATAAACAGCTTTCCTCTTGAGGAGATCACATCGTGATGTTGGTGTCTTAGAGCTAAAACGATGAGTGAATTTCGGATTCACCACGATGTCAACGAGTTGCTCAGCTTGCTGCGTGTCCATGGAGGGGATGGGGCCGAGGTCTACATCGACCTGTTGCAGAAGAACAGGACCCCGTATGTCACAACCACCGTCTCTGCTCACAGTGCCAAGGTGAGCACCTGCCCTGGTGGCCTCAGCAGGGCCAGCGATGACGGCAGACGGATGGCACTTATCAAAAGTTCTTCATGGAAGTGTGTGCTCAGCTGTGATTCTCAGGGAGGTGGTGGTGGAGGTGGAGGTGGTGGAGGAGATGGTGGTGGAGGTGGAGGTGGTGGTAGAGGTGGAGGTGGAGGTGGAGGTGGAGGTGGTGGAGGTGGAGGTGGAGGTGGAGGTGGTGGAGGTGGAGGTGGAGGTGGAGGTGGTGGTGACGATTGAGGTGGTGGTAGTAATGGAGGTGGTGGTGGTGGTGGTTGTTATGATGGTGGAGATGGAGGCAGTGGTAGAAG